ATATATATATGTAATTTTTTTAATGTTGCTATCCAGGATCTTTTTTTGTGTGTAGAACTGGAGTATGCTGGGGTGGAGGGTGGTTATGGTGAGACTCCAGACGCTCCAGAGACTGAGTGAGGAGCGAAACAGGCAGATCTACTGAAATAAATACTGCTGAGGGGAACAGTGGGTGAGACAGGAGTGGTCTGCTTTGCCATGGGTTAGCTTCTATCTGGGTATCAAACTCATGCTGTATTGGTGACAGCACTAAGACTTAGCCCCTAGGCTACCAGGGAGGTCCTAAAGTACATATTTAAATATAATGTTTCACTTACATGTATGTATTGAGCTGCATTTTTCTTTATAAAAAAAAAAAAGACTTTTGCATACAGAACTGGAGTGCAGGCTAGAGGTGCACTCCAGGGGTGGGGAGCAGAATAGGCAGACTGACAAAATTCTCTGCTGAGGGGAGCAGCAGGCGAGACAGGAGTGGTCTGCAGCACCATGTGGATCACCTGTGGGGCAGGGATTGAACTTGCACCAAAGAGGTGGCAGTCAGCTTCACAGTGCTGTGCTTTTTAACCCACTATGCCACCAGGGAGGGTCCTGAGCTGCATTATTCTAAGGAAGCTATAAAAATGACCATTTAATTCTCAAAATCTGTCTATCCCCATTCTACAGATAAGGAAACAGTCATGGAGAAGTACAGTTACTTTTGCCAGGTAAGATTTAAATCCAGGCTTTCTCACTGGATGTAACCATTAAGTTTGAAGAGAAAGAAAATTTCCAGATAGGTGCTTAACCTAGAAGAGAGAGGAGAGCAGAGGAACAGGAACTTTTAAAGTGTTTCATATGTTTGTGAATCATTATATTTTCCAGGTTTCTTCACTTAAATTGTGTGGTATGTTTGAGGTTTTATATAATTTTTTATGACCTTTATATTTTTTGTTGTCATATTAGTGAATCATGTACTGATAACGTGATTGTAGATAACTCAGTTAAATATTGGGTTAATAATCACTTAGTACTTTGCAACTTCAGCTGTAGTTATAAAAGTAAGGATTCTACATACCTCCTAACAGTTCCTTGAAAATGGAGCTAGCTTGGAATTCGGTTTTTATTGTCCTTCTAAGTTCTTCATGCTGGGGATTGGACTGGAACTCCTACAGAAATTTCATCTCAGTTGCTGGCCCTCTAACCAATGACTTACTGCAGAACCTGAGTGGTCCACTGGAAAAACAGTTCTCTAACTTGGCAGCAAGGAGTGAAGACTATGTTTGTCAACAGCCACTGCCTGCTTTTCTGCCAGAATATTTTAGCAGTGTTCATTTGAGTAATATTACTCATTATAAAGTATTTCTGCCATGGGCACAACTTCTCCCAGCAGGAAACTCCAAGCACCCAGATAAGCAAATGGTACAGTGTTACCGGCTTCTCTTTGAGGCACTCAAGAAAGCGAGACTTCAGCCCCTGGTCATCCTGCACCACCGGACTCTCCCTGCCATCACTGGGAGAGAGAAGGGCCAGAGAAAGAAAATCTTCGTTGACCTCTTTAGTGACTATGCAACATTTGCCTTCAACTCCTTTGGGGATCTCGTTGATATTTGGTTCACTTTTAGTGACTTGGAGGAGGTGATAAAGGAGCTTCCTCACCAGGAATCAAGAGTTTCACGTCTCCAAACCATCACTGATGCCCATAGGAAAGTTTATGAGATTTACCATGAAAAATATGCTTCTTGGGGTGAGTACACATGATTGATGACTGACACACTGGCGGTCTTTATTTCTTACCTTACCCCATTCTCCTTAAAGCAGAAATGGGCATTTCTTTCTGTTTATCTTCAATAGTCCCATCAAATCCATTCATTAGTGAGAACTTAATATTTTATTGAAAATTACCCAGTGGAAAGAGGCAAGGGTGGTTTGGATAGTATACTGCCTAATATTCCCTTTGAGAAATATGTAGTGAAGTCAAAAGGAGAAAGACAAATTCTTATATGTAGAATATACAGAAACAAAAGGGCATAAAAAACTAAACCTAACACTAGAAATCTGACTACAGAATTGCAGCTAACAAAGGCAGAGAGGGGAATAAAAAGGGAGAGGAGACTATGGTGGAGGATTAGCGGTGCTTTGGTGGTGGGTGTCGTGTGGTTACATGTATCTGAAGAGGTGTGAATCTATACTCCTCAACTGCAAAGCAATTTACACCATCTAATTGAAGCTTACTTTCCAGCAGGGGAGACAGGCAAATATAAAGATCAAATGATATACTGATAAGTGGTATGAAGAACAGAAATGCAGTTGTCCATATTCCTACTTCATAGGTAACTTGAGATTCTGATTCAGTGAGTCTGAATCAGACTGGGTAGAACCATGACATTTGTGATCTTAATAAATTACTTAGGTAAATCTGAAGTACACCTATTTTGAGAACCAATTCTGGATTATATATGAGTTTATGCTTCTATTATATAGTGTATACATATTTGTATACATAATAGAATAGTTGCACTTAATATTCTACCTTTTATTTTCTTTATTTATTATTTTTTAAAGATTTATTTATTTATTCATATAGAACTGGGGTACAGACCAGAGATGCGGAGGGTGAGAAGATTCACCAGAGACAGAGTGGGGAGCAGAACAGGCAGATGGATGAAGTACACTGCTGAGGGGAGCAGCGGGCAGGTCAGGAGAGGTCTGCCACGCCATGTGGATCACCTCCAGGGCAGGCAGGGATCGAACTCATGTGGAAGTGACTTTAGCTTCTTAGTGCTGTGTTTTAACCCGCTGCGCCACCAGGGAGGGCCTATTCTACCTTTTAAACTTAACATTTAATGAATATATACACTCATTTTATTTAAAACTTAAAGGGTATGATTTTCAAAGGTCTCAGGTTACCATCATGCGAATAGTTTTTAAAGTTTAAAATGTTTCTGTTTGCAGTAGGTGTTGACTTAATTTTCACTATTACAATATTCCTCTTATTTTTAGTAATGTTTACTTTTCACTATTACAAACTATGTTTCAATGAGGATTTCGATAGATAAATTCTTGTTATACTATGGTGAATTCTTTCAGAGAAATTATTAGAATTGAGTTTACTAAGTACAGATGTGCATTCTTTAAGAATTGAAATCAGGGGCCCTCCCTGGTGGTGCAGCGGGTTAAAGCGCAGCACTAAGATGATAAAGTCACTTCAGTATGAGTTCGATCCCCTCCCTGGAGGTGACCCACATGGTGTGGCAGACCTCTCCTGACCCGCTGTTCCCCTCAGCAGTGTACTTTGTCAGTCAGCCTGTTCTGCTCCCCACTCTGTCTCTGGTAAATCCTCTCACCGCCCCTAAACCTCTGGCCTGTACCCCAGTTCTGTATGCATAAGTAAATAAATCTTAAGAATTGAAATCATTTTAATAACTTGTTTTCCAGGGAAGTTGTAATAGTTTATACCAATAGTTGTGAAATTGTTCTTCTGGTCACACTTGTCTGTTTTCAATGAAGTAATTATTTTTATAGTTGGTAATTTGACAGATGAAAACTGTCAAAGTTTTGTTTGTATTTGATTGTAGAGATACTAAACATATTTTCTAAGTTAAAAATAAACGTCAGGCCCTCCCTGGTGGTGCAACGGGTTAAAGCACAGCACTACAAGCTAGTCGCAGCCACTTCAGTGCAAATTTGATCTCTGGCCCAAGAGGTGACCCACATGGCGCTGCAGACCTCTCCTGACCCACTCGCTGCTCCCCTCAGCAGTGTACTTCATCAGTCGGCTTGTTCTGTTCCTATCTCTGTCATTGTGAATCCTCTCACTGCCCCTGCACCTCTGGCTTGTCTCCCAGTTCTGTACACATAAATATTTTTAAAAAAAAAAAATAAATAACATCAGACAAGGGAAGATAAAGTGTGAGTATGGAGGAAGGCCTTTACCTGGGCCAACATCTGAGCAGACAAGAAGGAAGGGAGAGCCAGCCCTGAGATATGGAGAAGAAAACTGCTGGCAGAGAGCATAGTGCAAAGCCCCTGACGTAAACCAGCAAGAAACTCCACTGGCGGGTCCTCCTTGGTGGTGTAGCGGGTAAGTCTCAGCACTAGCACCACTGGCCTGAGTATGATCCCCAGCCAGGGAGTTAAGCCACATGTGGGTTGACAGATTTCTCCTGTCTTGCCCACTTCTCTCCTCAGCAGTGTATTTCAGTAGATCCACCTTTTCTTGTCCCTACTCTGTCTCTGCTAAATCCTCTCATTTCCTCCGACCCATGCACCTCTGGCTTACACTCCACTTCTATGCATAAATGAATAAATAAATCTTTTAAAAAGAAAACAAGAAACTCCGGTGGTAGTTTGGTTAACTAGAAGTAGAGGAAGGGAGATGAGGATTTGAAACTGGGCTCTTAGAAAAGTCCATCCTTGTTCATCTAAACATTATCTTTGGGTGGGTAGGCTCATAAATGTTTGATACAAATCTGCTGGAGAAGCGCTAAGAAAAATGAACTTTGAAAGAAGGAAAGATTGAACTTGTATTATCTCAAGCAAAAGAAAATTTCTTATTTTGAGAGCAAAGTTAATAGAGTTTAAATTCTAAAATTTTGTATACATGTTTATTTAAATGTTTTGCTATTTCACTTTTAATCTTCATCAGGTTACTAAAGACTGTTGACGTCTGAGCTTTTCTTCTGTTGCTCATTCCGCCTTCATTTTGTGTTTCTTCAGTATCATCAAGTGTCTGGCCCCTGATACAATGCAAGATCCAATGGAAATTAGATTTTCATTCTTCATATTATTCTAAATGTGTTTTTTCTTTTTACTTTCAGTTTTTCTCTCCTCTCCTCCCTTATCAGCCCAAACCCATAACCTTGCTATCTTTGTTAAAAATTTTATTATTATTATTTTTTTTTTTAAAGATTTATTTATTTGTGCATACAGAACTGGGGTACAGGCCAGAGGCTCAGGGGCTGCGAAAGGCTTCACCAGAGACAGAGTGGGGAACAGAACAGGCAGATCGACGAAGTACACTGCTGAGGGGAGCAGCGGGCGGGCCAGGAGAGGTCTGCCACGCCATGTGGTCACCTCCGGGGCAGGTGGGAATCGAACCCATGCGGAAGCGGCTTTAGATTCTCAGTGCTGTGCTTTAACCCGCTGCGCCACCAGGGAGGGCCATTTTTTTTTTATTTTTAAAGATTTATTTATGCATGCATACAAGAACTGGGGCACAGGTCAGAGGTGGCGGTGGGGGATGGTGAGAGGATCACCAGAGACAGAGGGGGGAACAAAACAGGCAGATTGACCAAAATACACTGGGAAGCAGCAAGCAAGACAGGAGAGGTCTGCTATGCCCTGTGGGTGACCTCCCTGGCCAGGGATTGAACTCATGCTGCAGTGACTGCAAATATTTTCATTGCACCACCAGGGAGGCCCCCTAAAAATGTTACTAATATACGCAAAAAACAAGTTATATAACATATGCTGGATGCTGATTAAAAGCAAAATACGATGACAAATATCCATGGAATGGATATTTCACAATTACAATAGAAGAGAATAACATATCATACCAACTAGCATGACTTTAAAAAAAAACACACACACACTGTAACCAGTGTGGATGATGATGTGGAGAAACTGAAGCCCCCATACACTGTTTTTGAAACTGAATGGCAGTGCAATTGCATTGTACAGTCTGCCAATTCCCCCAAGAGTTAAACAGAGTCATCATATAAGTCTATAATTCCCCTTCTAGGTATATACCCCTGAAGGAGATGAAACAAACATATAGAGAAAAATTTGCCACAAACATCCCATAGCAACTTTATTCATAATGACTAAAAGTGGAAATCCCTAATACCCATCTAATATCAGATAAACAAAATTAGGTGTAACTATACAATAGCATATTACTCAACCATCAAAAAGAATAACTGCTACATGCCACGAGATGTGTATACCTTGAAGACATTATACTAAGTAAAAGTAACCAGTTACAAAGAACATATTATATGATCTTGTTTATATTAAATGCCTAGAAAGAGTGAATCTATAGAAAAACTAAAGTAGATTAGTGATGCCTAGGGCTAGAAGAATTAGAAATGACTGCCAATGCATATGGAATTTCTTTTGAGTGATTGAAATATTCCAGAATTAGATGGTGAAAATGGTTGTAGAGTTTTGTGAATATGCTAAAAAGTACACTGGATTATATAATTTCAAAGGGTGAATTTTATGGACTATAAATTATATTTCAATTAAAAAGTATAAATAAAGATTTGTAGGGTTTATGAAACAAAACAAAATAAACCACACCATCACCCATTTCCCCTTCTCCCACAATAGGTTATCACAATGCTAATATATTTAATTTAATTTATTTTATACAAATATTCTGTGTATCATTTATCATTTCATGACTTTTTCTTCCTATTGGTATCCACATGACTAAAGGTTCAAGGCCAAAGGTTTCATTTATTTTTTTCCCTCTTCCTGGCCAAAGGTTTTATTTTTTTTTAAATATTTATTTATTTATTGCCTGGATGAACTGGGGTGTAGACCAGAGGTGTGGGGGTGAGAGGATTCACCGGAGACAGAGTGGGAAGCAGAACAGGGAGATATATTGAAATAACACTGATAAGGGGAGCAGTGGGCAAGGAAGGAGAGGTCTGCTATACTATATATGTGTGGGTAATATGTGGATTAGCTCCCTGGCTGGGATCAAACTCAGACAATAGTGGTGAAAGTGCTGAAACT